AAATAGATTTGAAAAATTGACGAGATAAATGTGACTCGAGCTGTCATCGTCGAGAAGAATCGATCCTTCGGTGACATAAATGTGCACCTCGTGTTCTAGGATATCAATTACACTCTCGTCGTATATATATATAGCCCTCGGCGCGAAAATGTCATTAGAATCAATAACAGCAACCCCCTCCCTTCTTTCTACTCAATTCGCATACGCACAATTCCACCCTCGTCGTCTTCCGATCGACCAACTTTTCCCGATGGCGCTATCATTCTAGGGAGTATTGTGTTCCGCTTCCTTGCGCCACCGAACTTTTCCCACCCTTGTCCTTAGCCTCGATTGCCGAAAGGCACGAGGGACGCGCCCGAATATTCAATAATTCACCAATTTCACGAACATGAGCACGCGTGCTCGATTAAGACGTCTGAAAAATTCGGACAACGGGAAGTCTTCGCTGGCCGATCCTTTATCATTTTCTGGCAGATAAAATAGTTCACTTTGTGCGTGAAAACTGTATCTAAATAAATTTGCAAAGTCCCTAGAGATGGGTAATCCTATGAAAGAATTTTATAAAAGAATCCGATAATTATACATAAAAGATCCTGCACATAATATGACAAATATTTTAATTAAATTCACGCAGCAGACTTAGTCATAATATTCTAGATATTTTCAATCTGTTCAATATATCCGGATTTTTATATATCATCATCGTAGTGCTGCGGGCGATATTATCCGCAGCGTGACTCGTATCATCGATATCAACGAGAACGAGTTTTCATTTTTCTCCATTTTTCGTCGGGAGCGAGGTAATATTTTCGTTACGAGCCTCGGGACTTCCTAGTCCCGTCAAGTTACTGGAAGGACACGGCAAATCCCGCGGCATCGCCCGGGATCAGAAAGGGTGGTGGAAAGAGGAATTGGAGACGTATATACGGCGACGGAAATATATATATATATATATATATATACACGTGGCCTAGAGGGTTCAAGGATGTGCGACGTTGTCTTCCGCAGGGGGTGGATTTGCCTTGGAGGAATCCGCGGTCTTCACAGAGGGAGGGAACCATCCCGTTAAGCCACCATGATTCCACGAGATAAACCCCCATATTATGTCGCGTGGGATTATGCGGAAAACCAGCCACGAGACGCGGCGACCCGTTATCTTTGTGTGCGAGACTCGCGGGGTGTATTATATATATATATATATATATGTTATGTATATATATACGCGATACAATTCTGTAGGTGTATAAAGATTTTACGGGCGCGCCACGTCTCACAGAGAGATCGTGTCTTCTCGAGAAAAAAAATTTCCCCTCGCTTCACTGGCTTCTACAAGAAGAAAATTAAGAAAGCTTAGGATAAGAAAGGGTGCGTACGCTTGCGCACGTACGCACCCTTTTATTATTTTCCCGCTGACGGCTTCGTGACAAACGAGCCAAGACATATTTGTGCTATGAAAATATAATCTCGTCAAGAGACTATGCGAAATATTGCGTTCGCATTGATATATGTCTGCACTGGTTAAACTAAATTAATCATTATGCATTCGATATAGGCACCCTGCATCGCGATTTCTATTAGGAAAAAAAAATTAATTTTTCACGAATTTTCCAAATGTTTAATTATCTCGAGTTTCAAAAATTCTCGCATCACGCCTAGGTTTTTAATATCCGAAGGCAAGATTCGCGCGGGATCGTTACGAAAGCATCACTTCCGCCGATGACCGAGCATGAATGGTCCGTTTATCGGTCGGGGAAAAAATCCGCTATAAAAAGACCCGAGTATACAAGCCGTATTTAAGGGATTTTAAGGAACCGCGACGAGTTTTCGTCGGTGCCTTCGGGGCCTGGGACGCATTTTTAATTAAGCCGTAAATCGAAGTGCCGCGGTCCGCCTTTATTGCGGGCCTAAACTATATCGGTCGCGCGCTCTTAAAAAGGTGCAACACGAGACAAAATCGACTTGCGTCGCGCGCGTAGAACCTCTCACTGGGAGGCGATCCTTTTTATCTCGAACCACCCTCGGAAAGACACGCGCGATGTTCTGCATCGTTCGTCGTAATGATCGGCCCCGCTGCCAGGAATGTCGTAAAACAGAGTCAAGGTGGTCCGCAGGGATGATTCGAGCGTCCGTTCCCTTTTTTCCTTATCTCTCTCTCTCTCTCTCTCTCTCTCTCTCTCTCTCTCTCGTCTATATAAGTCAACGCTCTTAAACCTTAATGTCCCGGATTTCATTGCCTTTTATTCTCACGCGAGCGCGATCGTTAACGCAAAGGTTCGAGGAGACACATGGAATTCGCGGAGTGCACGTGACAGAACGCGCTTATGGATCTCTCGATTATCGGCGAGCCTACATATCTACCTCTTTCTTTCCTTCTGCTGATACCTTCTTAAATATGCAATTTATTGTCTTATTTCTTAGATATATTTTTTTACTTTCTACACTACAAATTTAGAGATGCAATAAAGATTTTCGTTAAAAAAAAAGAAAAACTGAGAGCGACACTCTTTTGATGCATAATTATGTAGATTAGAAGCGTTACAAATAGTGAGCCGAAACGACGATAGAAAAAACATATCGAAGAAAATGTCTAGCAATTTTGAGCGAAACGTTTGGGGTCTGCGTTTGTTAATGCAACTCAGGAATAAAGCGGCAACAAAAGACGAATGCCCTATCACTGTTGAGTCATACTCGCACCTCCGTTAGCCACTTCGGAAAGAACAACAGGCGAGAACAACGCCAACGCGAAGAGCTCAAAGGAGAAAACGGAACGACGTATAAATACAGGCGAGAGAAGACGGCGAGAGAGGGCGAGAAGGACGCATAGATACAGGTCGCATCCGTTGCAGCTCGTCGCCTTCCACTTCCATTTGAATAAAAGCAACGATAAGCACATCCTTAGAGTCGCTCGCAGTTTCTGAATTGTTTCCGCTTCTTAAACCCCCGACAAATTTATTATAATAACTACCCTTAAAGCCGGCGGATCTCTCTCGCAGTTTGCCCTCTTCGTCTCTTCCACCCGTTGCCACCGTCTTCGGGTTCCGCAGTCGTTTCTTCGTCCCTTTCTCTCGCGCTCTTTCTCTCTCTCTCTCTTTCTTTCGCTTCCTATCCACCACCTCTCACGCTGCTTCTTGGCCTGCGCACCAGACGCTTCCACCCCACTGTCTACCCTGAAAGTGAATGCGCCTCTGTTGTTCATACCCGTACCTCTCCTCGTTGCCCTCTCCCATGCCACCGCCTTCGGTTTTCTCTCGCGAGGAAGAACTCCCTTTTCTCCGGGTAGTCGCCGGGCGAAAGGAAGGATCGCTCCCGCGAATAATGTGTTTCTCTTTTACCACGTGGCGAGGAAGCCCTGGGATAAGGGAGACCGAAGAAGGAGCATCAGTTGCAATATTCTCTCAGCGCGCGAACAACGTCAAGTTTTCTGAATATTTCGAGCCGGTTTTTACGGTCCAGCGCGCGGCAGTTAATCATTTTACGATAATTATACGCTTTAAAACCAGGGAGTTGGATAATTCTCTTCTTATTAATCCGGCAGACTCAACTTGATACTCGCGGTTTATACAAATATATTTATAGTGTACGCTACATTTAATTTTATATATACAAAACATTATATTAATTAGAAAAAATATATACCTCACATTTTATGCGCATATTGCATGAATTAAAACAGCTAGTTATTAATTATATGCATAAATGTAGATTTAAAGAAAAATCTGCATGACATTATAGCAAATAAACAGAGCGCATAAGAATATGTGCGCAAAATGTTTACGAATTAATTAATAGTATATTGTGTATCAAGTGCGGAAAGTTGACAATTGGTCACGAGTGAACAATTGTCAATCCGCACGTGATACACATACTATTTTGTATTACAAGTGCAGGCAAAGTGGCTTTGTGCTCGTTTTCTGTGCGCGAGGTGGCCGATCGCACGCCGCCATCTTGCGGCGGCGTGAGAAATCGGCCGCTTTCCGCACAGAAAACACGTACACAAAGTGCCACTTTGCCTGCACGTGTAATACAAAATAATATTAATGAAAATTTGAGTAAACTGCAGAGACCCAAAAAATCACGATTAGTTGCAACTATCGAATATATACCATCGAAACAATTATAGTACTACACTCCCATTGTCAAACGAGGGCTGTCGTCCGTAGGAAGTTCTATTCTAAGACGATCGCCGCCTTAACAAAGAAATCGGTGTTTCTCATCGAAGGAACCGCCATCGCGACCTAAGCAGACGTGTATATAGAATGTGCACGCGGTTCACTCTTAATATTACCCGCGGTAACAGCCGTGTTATGGTATTTTTTTCGCCCCACGGCCGCTGAGAGCAACATCGCAGGAATTATACGCGGCAGGTAGAAGACGACGGACAAAGTGGAAGACAACGAAGAAGAAGGGAGAAAGAGAGGAGAGAAGAAAGACCCTGAAGCGGGTGGTTGTCTTCGTCTCGGCATGGTATTTACGACGTCATTTCCTCGCTGACTGTCAATAATTTCCCTGGGGGATGCGCGGAAGACACTATTTGCCTCCGCCGCGCGTCTTTGGACGCAGCTAACCGTCATCTTTCTGTATCCACCTATCTCAGCCCGCGCCACTTTTTTCATCTCCCTCCCGTTTTTTGAATTGAAAAGACGTCGAGAACGAAGCCAGCCGAAAAGTAATATCGTAGAGATGGGAGAAACGTGTGTACACGGCTCGATGGAGCTCGAGATTGATTATGCGCTTTCGATAATTCACTTCTATGCGCATGATTTATATACATATGTGCTGATTTTACCTCAAGTCAGTTTCGACATTTAAATGTCGAAGCGTACGAGCGAGAATTACAGGCACTCATTACTTCGATCGATCTAACCTTTCGAATTAATGACAGCCTTGTTAATTCCAGATTTAATTATCCATCTTGCGACAGCTGCTTTCTGTTAAATAATACGCGTGTAAAAGCGCGAAAAATCATACGGTGGTAATTATAATTAATACACACGCACAGATAAGTATCTTATATGTCATATATTTGCCTATTTCTCTCAATCATTGAATAATTATATGTGCCTGGAGCAACAGGACGGGGAGGAAAATATCTTCAAGTATATTGTATTTTGCTTAGGGAACGTGGATATTAACATAAGATAAGAATGACATTAGCTTAAAGGATAGTTTTAATAAAAATATTTAGTTATGTATCGCAATATTGCAATAATAACAAAATCATCGAATAAAAAAAGCACGCGTATGCATTCCATTGGCCTATTATTTATACTTTGTTTCTCGCCATAATTTTATCTCAAAAAAAAAATAAGAAGATAAAAATCAATAAATAAAGAGACCTATAATCGTGATTGATACGATAAATCATGTTGCCGATGAAAAACGCACGTTTTTTTCAAACATTTATAATTATATGATAATTATATACTTAACTTATATATCGATCAGCCTGCGCGCTACTAGTTATTATGCCGTTCGTCCCTTTAAAAACAGTTAAACGCGAGGAGACTGCGGCTTCAAGAACCAAGGCAGCGCTGCCTAATGAAGCATCTCCTTTAACTAATTTACAATCAGCGTTTTCCTCCCAGGCCGGTCGAGACGTGGACGGGCGCGAAAGAGAGAAGCGGAGCTGAGAAGGACAAGGGCATCCAAGTTCCGTATACTTTCTCCGTCCCCGAGATTATCGCCGCCTTTTCTCACGACCCACTCTTTAATTTTCGCCATCGATACCGTAGCATCCGCTTTAACTCATTAGACTCAATCAATTATACGGGCGTACGATTACTGTAGTCGCCTCTTTCCCTTTCTCATTCTCACTCTCACTCTGTTTCTTCCCATCCGCCGTCCCTCCCGTGTCGTCCTGTTCAACAACCCCGTCTTAATCCCTCGACCGAGACCCCGAGTGGTATCCCGGGATACTAGGGTTTACCAAGGTAAACCTCTTAGCGCTCCGATGCCACGGGAAGTCAAGGTCGTAAGACACGTGACGCGTCGCGATCCACGAAGAACCTGGCGAACGATATTGGCCGAATCCTGCATAGTTCTAAACACACCTACCTGCAACAAAAAAAAAGAATATCTACATTAATACAGTTCATAAAAACAAGAGTGTTTGTTTTTAACGTCATATTATAACAATGTACATTCTATGCTTGATGTGTATAAAAATTCTACAGATTCTACGCCAAATATCCTGTAGATTCCATTAATGTTTTTTTTTTAATAACAATCAAATATTCTTTTTAAGTTATAATCAATAATCAATACTCCAGTTGAATTGTAAAAAAAAATTAATTGAAGACACTGATTTCTTCAGCAAGGCCAAAACAACGAGAAGCAAAAGCAGGCTACAGCTCGCTCTATAACAAGCAGCCTGGCTTTGTTATCCCAATTTAATGCACACGCGGACATATCTGAAAAGGCGTTACAGCAGGGTGGCCCATTTGTTCTCTACATGTCCAGGGCCGTAATGTCATACGATAAGGCGCGGATCGCCATAGTGTGTTAGCCGGCAGTTAAAGCCCTATCGCTGTACATCTCGTGTTATTCGTCAAGGCGTGACGAGTGGGTGGAATTTTTATGTCTTCGAACTGGCAACGTTTCTCTCTCTCTCTTTCGCTTCCAAAATCGCTTAAATAAAACTCGATAAGTTAACGTCGAAACACGTCGCTATAGCCGTCCATTACGATTAACTTGATGAATCGGGCACTCGAACACACTATTGCGATGAGCGCCGACGAGCTATATTTAATGCAAACAAATTAATTTAATGGTTATCGATTTCACATGTGGCTGCTATAACAGCGGTAATAACAGCGTAATATATATGTATGCTCTTTGCTCGGCGAATTAAGAGAATTTATTAATAGAACGAATCATACAAATGTATACTAACAAATTCGATTTTTCGTACATTAGAATTTTATATTTTTTATATTATAGATATAAGTAAAAATTCAGAATTGAAAAATATATACCGGTGCATTGCATCAGTCAAATTCATTTACACACATTTATTAAAACGTTATATTTTATATTTTAATTAAAGTTAAATAATTCTAGCTTAAATTGTAAATTTGTCCTAAACAATATTTTCCGATTTAATTTTAAAAAATTAATCTGAAATAATAAAACGTAATCATTATGACGTAAATAATATCGAATTCTGCGTCAATTTATAATACATTCCAAGTGTATTTAAATAAACATATTTATACGCAAAATGTATATATATATATATTATATTATATTATATTAATACAATAAATTGAATTTGATTATTATCGATTATTAATTCTTTTCTTACGTTTTGACTGAAATAAATCTTTTATAAACAAAGTTAGATAATTGTATCGATGTCACTGTGTCTATCAAATACTACCAATATGAGACTTGAAAAATTTAGAAAAAGTGCATGGAGAAATCATGCTAAGGAAAGAGGCGTGGTAGAAGAAGAATGTCGATTCGTGATATTATGCAGGACAGAGTGACAGGAAACGGTGTAACATCAGCCGTAGGCTCCATGTACGAGGGTGGAATATGCTTAACGTTAATTTGTACGATAAAAGAATTATTGATTTTTACTTAGGCGGCCCAGTCAGGGGTGTGAGAGGGAGAAAGAGAATGCACGGATAGGGGAACCTTGCTTTAAAGTGGAGGTACTAATGAGACGCTTTTAAACGCATCGTTATGCTATCTCACGACTGGAACCTAAAGTTAAAGATATCAGTCGCTTTATATACACGCACGCGAGGAGCATTTGTCACTTAACATCGCAAAATATTTTTAACAAACATAAATATGTTCTATAAAAAAAATATACACATATCTTAGGATTATATCTCCAAAAAATGTATCCCTATATTAATTTGAAGAAAACCGAAACATTTATATATTCTCAACAAAATATTTAGCGCATTGTAGTTTTTGTCTTCTTAAATAAATGATGTGAAAAAAAATATTCCTCTTATTTTTCAAAAACATATACATAACATCGTTTTCTCGATTGTAGATTATTGGACTTGAAAACTTTACTTATATATATATATAGTCTAGCGCGATATTAATTAACGTGATCGGCCCGAGCAAGTTCTGTTCGGCTGTCAAGTTTTTACATGCTCATGTAAAAAATCGCGTATACATTATGTGCATGCGAACCGTCGCGGCTTTGCCGCGTCTGAAAATTTGGAGTAATAGGAAAACTCCTGAGCGGAAAAGAAGTTCAATCTAGCCATGGCGAGGGAGAAGCTTGGAAAAGCTCTTTGGGCTCCTTTGATTCCAACTCGACCCCTACCACCTTCTAAATCTTTTCCCCTCCTTCTTTACCCCAACCTCCGTCTCTCTCAACCACCGTCGCCTACGACTCCATAACGTTTTTCACGATAGGAAGAAGCTTCCAAAAGTTGCTTTGCCAAGTTGCCCTGCGGCTGTGCATCGGGCCAGTCTCTAAAAATCTGACTTTCTTCCTCGCTTTCTTTAACCACCGTTGCGGATAACCGTCTACGGTCGGGATGGATGTTCTATCTATATTTACTGTAGGGAAATGATGAAAGAAAAAAGTGATGGAAAGAGTCCGGCGTATTCACATTTTAGCGATCGTCGAAAAGCAGAGATAAAGAGAAGAGTTGCACATTTAAGGGTTTGCAGTGAAATTATGTTTTCCATCTAACTGAGATACGATTCTTTCTCTCGAATGTGTTTGCATTAATTAAAATTATAAACAAATGTTAAAAAAGTGACGTGAAAAAACAAAGCGCATTTATAAAGAAATGATATGTAATCCTGATGAGAAGATTAAGAAAATATTTTATCGATTTGCAATAATTTCATGTCATAATAGAGTCTCGCATTATTTTATTCGAAAGCTGTACAATTATATCATTCTGTTCTTTTAAAGATTCAATCTAAATTTTACTAAATTGATAATTATATATTTTCACCTTTCAAGAAAATTCATCCATTTAAAAAATCATTCCACGACTAGATACATATTTCTTACATCTCAACGATTCTTTCCACGGTTAATCATTAAGAAACACACTCAGCTTGACGAAAATCGCATATATCGAAAGGCATCGAATGATCGCGAGTATAAGGAAAGAAATAATGAAAGCCCACGTCGGAGGAAAGTGCTCTCTGTATTAACAACACAAGGCTCTCTCTCGAGCGACACGAAGGTGCGAAGAGGGAAAATATAGTGCTTCCATATCCGTGCGCGGCTGTCTATCGATTCTCAACGAGTATAAAGTACTGCGATTCCGCCCGTCGCCGAGTCGACGGAATAAATTTGCGCTCGCCCGGGTAAAACGGGGTGAGAGAGCCCGCGGAGTGCAGGCGGGCGAACGAATCGGGTAAAAGGGAGGGTGCGATGTCGGAGTCGCAGGACACCCGGCAGGCGCGGGCGGGAAAAAAAAGGAGAAGGAAGAGTGGTACGCGAGAGGAAATGGAAGAGGCGTCGGAAAAGCCGGAGCGCGCAACTCCAGACTGCGATGGGAATTTTCGAAACTACCTCGACCTCCTCCGCGCACGCCATTTCCTCAGTCTCGCACTTTTCCGCCCCTTATATTCGCGTTCTCTCCTACCTTTCTCTCTCTCTCTCTTGCTCCGCGATCGAGTATCAACCAGTCAGCGAGGGAAACGCGTGCGTGTACAAGCGTTTGTGTAGGTTTCACGTAATGAGAAATCTGGCATGCACCTCAAAGTTGCTTAGCTAGACGGGCTTTTAAAACCCAGAGTTACAAGTTGCTTGATCTTTATCGCGCGAAAAGTCGCTTCAATCCGGTTTAATACTAATGTTGGATAAGTATAGAGCCGAAAGCCGGTTATATTCGACCCACGATCCCGATAATAATCGGTTACTTGACACAAAATTTCATCGCGCGTATAATTAAGATATTAATCAAATTATCAGATAATTAAAATATTTGTATTGTATACCTTGTTATAGCAGATAATGAGAGAGAGAGAGAGAGAGAGAAATAATAGACAGAAAATATAAATGATTATATAATTGCAAAATAATTTAATTAAACATATCGTTTTCTTCACAATTTTTGTTTTGTACCATCTCTTTCGATATGCTTCAACATCGAGCGATGAAATATTCTTATAGAGATCGTCGCGCCCAGAATCATGTACGATGTTATTCGCAAAAGATCCTTTTGTTCTTAAATCACCCCTTTCCTTAAATCACCCCGTCGTCGTTTTGCGGCGGCGAAAGCAAGCAGTCTCCTTCCTTCCCAGGAAGGGAAAACTTCCCTTTGGCGGTTGGATCGTTACGGCAGCTGATTGGCGGGAATCTTGTTAAAGGTTTGGTTTGAATAATCGCCACTCGATTCCGTCGATTTTCATGACTCGCGTAATGACGCGTAGAAATCCGCCGTCACCCTTCTGCCCTTTCACGGACAATAATTTCAAGAGTCGATTTCTTGCACGCCGTAAGCATCCCCCTCAACGCGATCGTTCCTCGTTATAAAGAAATTCAATTTTATGTTACATATTCCTGAACGCGCGCGATTCACCGGTAGTATCGAGGTCAATTTATGATCCTGTCCGATCTCGCAAAACTCGATCCCGTTATCTTTGCATTTATATACAACATCTTCATTCATGCGGAATAGAAATAAAATGTTTTGCTGTACATGAACAAATCATATTTTTAATATATCAAATTTATATTTATATACAGGGTGTCCGGTAACTAACGGATCAATGATTAAGGGCGGATTCTCTGGCCAATTTGGAGACGATTTTTCCTTAGCAAAAATGTTGAGAAGTCAATAATTTTCGAGTTATGAGCGATTGATAAAAATGGGTTTTTTGAAAACTAAACGTTTTGGAGCAAAATTTTAATTTGAGACTTAGTTATCGACATTTTCGCTGAAGAAAAATCGTTCCCAAATTGACCAAAGAATCCATTTGTAATCGTTGGTCCGTTAGTTACCCTGTAAGATGCATCGTAAAAAGAAAACAAATAAATTATTTCCTCCATAAGTGTGATTTTAATAGCCAGAATCGACTGGAAATTTCATTCAATTTTTGCCGTCGTTTCAATTCGC